AAAACAACATAGTCAGTTTGAAATGGTGAAAGAAATTTACATACTTGATCAGAAGTTTTATTATATAGGCCTATATATATAATATTATATTAATATATATATTAATATATATATAATTATTTTATAATGTTTCCTTGGGGTGCCATTATAATGTTAGTATGATTTTTACATTTTTTAGAAAAGGCATTTTTTTACTAGCCTGATTTTATCCTCTGATTTGAACGCTCTTTGAAGGGGCGTGTCTGCTGTGAGACTTCAGTGTAAACGCCCACTGCTGTGATTGGCTGACATCTTTGCATATGAAATAGCTAGTATTACATGTGGAACTCTCTCTCTCGAAATCTTTTACTACATTTTTACTATTACAGCAATCGAGATTAACAAATCGTGAAAAGTGTTTACATCTATTCCCATCACACGAAAGGTTGCAGTAATGAGCATTGAGCAGATGACAGACAGTCTGTTGATCGCGTAAATACAGCGATCTCATCATTGCAACGCAATTTCTGCACTCTTACGAATGCTTTCACCAAATAACAATGCAAACACAATGTAAATAAAGTAAGAGCTTTGTTGTGCAGTGTAACAGCATGATTGATTTCATAACGAGTTTTAGCAACTGTCCAGATTGACAGCTTGGGCGATTGGAAATAGCCTGACTACGTCAGACTTTGTACTTCCGCTCAATTTCAGTTCGCTTCTGTACTCAATCTGAGATAGCGACCATAGACAGTAAAAGAAATGCACACAGCGACCCCATAGATTTCAACGGAGAAAGTTGAAGCCCATTAGAAGCACTCACTTCCTGATAGCCAAGCATACTGCGCAGGCTCAAACTGAGCTTGACGACGTATATGTGACGTGAGCAACCGTTCTGACCTTCTAGTAGCTGTGCCGAGACAAATCTGAATTGAAATCTAAAACAAATCTGTTGTTGAAATAGTTTGTCCCGTTGCTTTTATGAACTCTCTATCTATGGGCTTCTCCCTTGACTTTATGCCTCCATGTCCACCCGATTGCCTCATAGACAGTAAAAGATTGCCTATGAGCTTCTCCTTCTGTCTATACGGTAATTTCTCTACTGTACGACAGAGAGTCCCGTGGTTATGACACAATCGTTAGCCTATTTTTACAAAAACGGCTTCTACAGGGCCATAACGTAAGATACAAAGTAATGGAGCCTTTTATCCATTGTCCTGTTTCTTAAGCCCCGTTGCCCCCGGTACCGGGGGCGTCCGTTTTTAACAGGTTAAGAAATAAGTAATGGACAAATGTAGTCTTTGGACGCCTCAGATGTAAAGTTATTCGCTGTCAAAGTGACGCCAAAATGAATGGGAGTCAATGGAATGCTAACAACAGGTGATTGTCAGCTACAATGGCGGCTCCCAAGCGAAGCTTCAGTTTCCGGAGGATGGATTACCCCCTTGATAGTGTCACGGGTGACAAAATCGCTCGGCAAGCGGAACCCCCTTGAGAGTCCTAAGTTTCCCAGGGGAAGGTATTGTGTGCAACACGCCCCACTCCCGTGATGTAAACATGCCCGCACTGATTAGCGCTAATGCATTGCAGGTGTGAGAGAGAGAGAAGCGGCGCTCACACAGGCTTCCTGTTACGCAAGCCAGGATAAAAAGGGACCATTCAGAGAGTGTTGTGGTTGATGTTCAGTGGGGTCGTTGATGTTCAGTGGGTTTGAAGTGCTCAGTGAGTTGGAAGTGTTGAAGAGCCTAAAGGGTTGACTTTGAGCAGTGTTGGATACAAGCTTCCTCAGGAAAACCGTTGTGGTGTGGAGATCGCCCATTTGAGTTTGCTGGATGAGAGTGACCGTTCGTGGGAAGTCTGCTGGACTGAGCTATCGTCTGGATTGGTGCTGTGGAAGGAGAGAGAAGAGATAAGTGAACTGATTTCATCTTATGAGCGTTCAAATTGCTGGAAGAGGATGCAGTAAATGTGGATCTGATTGTCGGAAGAGCTATGTGTTTCAGAGTGTGTTGAGGAGGAATTGAGAGAGAAATCCCTCGTGGAGCGAGCGCAACAAACGGAGTGGGGCCTCTGACCAGCCTTAATGTGTGAGTGAATTGCAGTGCTTTTGCCTTATTGATACACATTGATTTGTGGCTGTGGAATTGAAGTGAACACAAGTGTGCTGTGCCTTTGCTGCGAAGTGGCCCTAGCCCCATTTACACGTTTGTGGAAAGTTACTATATCTGCTCCCCATTGGAAGTCCAGTGTGATACAGCTGCACTGAAGAGGGTACTCTGTACTGTGAAGGTCCTTAATTGTTATTTACTGTTTTGAGCCCAGAAGCCTACTGCATCACTGGTAACGTACCCTTTTTAACCCATTGTCTCCTTACTGTGCACTGAAGAGAGTACATTGTACTGTGAAGATTTTTACCCGTTCTACTTACTGTTTGAGCCCAGAAGCCTACAGCATCACTGGTAACGTACCATTTTTAATTCATTGTCTTCCTGCTGTGTACCGAAGAGAGTACGTTGTACTGCGAAGATCCTTACCTGCTCTACTTACTGTTGAGTCCAGAAGTACACTGCATCATTTGGGAAGCAATCTTTTAATTCACTGTCTCCTTACTGCAAGCTGAAGAGAGTACTGTGTACTGTGAGGAGCCTTACCTGTTCTACTTACTGTCCGAGTCCAGAGGTATACAGCATCACTGGTAAAGTACCCTGTTTAATCCATTGTCTTCCTGCTGCACATTGAAGAGAGTATTTTGTATTGTGAAGATCCTCACCTGTTCTACTTACCGTTTGAGTCCAGAAGGACGCAGCATCATGGGCGAAGCAAACCTTTAACTCACTGTCTTCCTCCTGTGGACCGAAGAGTACCGTGCGCTGTGAAGAGTCCTTACCTGCTATACTTATTGCCCGAGTTCGGAAGTCGGCAGCACTGCTGGGAAAAAGTAAGCTTTCAAACCATTGTTCCATTACGGTGTGCCGATGAGAGTTCTCGGTACTGTGAATATCCTTACCTGTTCTACTTACTGTTTGAGTCCAGAAGCATGCAGCATCGCTGGTGAAGCCGTCTAGTGATTCGCTGGCTCGCCCCCTGTGAACGGAGTCCCCAAATTGCCGCCCAGGGGACACCGTGACAGTTGCAACACGCCCGCCCGTGACAGAAGGATATCTAGAGGACAGTGAAGGCTATCCAATTGATGCCCCTTGTTTTATCGTTCAATAAAGATTGTTCCTCCTTTGAAACTTACCTGTGTCTCCGTAGTCCTCTGTTGTGTGCCTGTGGTGTCGGCTCCCCACGGTGGTGACTCAGTAAGAGAGGGGGGGCGGTTGGTCATCCGAGCATTCCTCCCCTCGACCTGTGTGACAATAGCGACCTATCTCTCAGTTTTCCTCCGGCCTGAAAACAGCCGGCCAATCAACGAACAGAGGGCGGGCTGAGAGCTGTGATGTAGACGCTAAAGCGCAGAGTTTAAGATTGTATTTTAGGTTAGGGAAATCGAAAATGACCGCGGATATGGAGATACGGGATGCAATTCGCTCTGTTGTGGAGAATATTCCCGGCATTTGCAAACGGAAGCCCGGACAAGAAATGTGTTTGTTAAACATTTTGAATGGAGGTGATGTTTAAGTTGGAGAGAGAGGGGATTGCGTTATGTGATTGGCTTACGGGTAACCAATGATTTTATACTTTAGACAAGCCCCCCCGAAGAAAACACTTTTCAATTTTCCCATTCCAGACTCTGTCTACGAAGCAAAGCGGAGTAACAGAGTTTGGTATTACCAGGCTAGATTGTAAAGGGGGTGTTCTTTGATCGCTTTCTGTATATAATTTAATCACAATCATATTTTAGTCATATTTTCATCCCACTAAGAGAAATTGCATAAACAGTATTGAACGATTTTGAGAGAAATATAATCTATCTGATCTTAAATTACACATCAGAAATCACTGATCACAGATAAGGCATTAGAATAAACATGGTTACTTACATATGTGGCGTTGCTGGCAGATCCCTATCGTAAAAGTGTGTTTGCAAAGCCTGTGCCAAAATTGCGACTGATTTACCAAATAATCCACAGTGAAATGCACCGAATACAAACAATTAAATATTGCACTGCTGAGACATTTACATTGTTGGAAATCCCCCCCACTCGGAAGGTTATGGTATTGATCCTGTGTCGATCTTTACTCGTTCTCATGTCACATTCACTAACGCTCCAGTGGGCGGCGCCAAAGACGCAGCCAATGTAGACGTCGTAGACGTTGATATTCTTCTGGAAAGGCGGCCTTTCGCTGCCCTGTGACGTTATAAGTTCCCACTTTTCAGATCCTGTCGTTTTCTAGCTTTGGTTTCAATAAAAGCTGTTTTTGGAATAACAAGGAAGTTTTAGTATAACACCTCTTAACTGTCAAAAGATCAAGGAACATTTGAATTCATGACCCCTTTAATGGCCCGTTGTAGCCTGACTTCGTCATACTCATATTCTAGTCAGAATGTGAGTCTGATACTGCTCCATAGGGCTTTGATTATGAGGCGTGTCTTAAAAGGAACCCCGACTATTAAGGTCCTGTCCACACAGACACGGGTATTTTTATAACCGTGACTTTTTTTACGCGGTTCGGCTGTTCGTCCACACGAAAACGCACTGAAACCGAACATTTTTGAAAACCCCTGCCAGGGTGAGGATTTTCAGAAACGCCGGTTACAGTGTTGTCGTGTAGACAGTGAAACTGGGGTTTTTGCCTTGCGACGTCAGAGTGTGCGCCGTTATCCGCTGTGTTTGACGTCAGATTTGCGCTTCTGATTGGCCAACGTGGCTTTACGGTTAAGGTTTACATCGCCGCCTGCTGGCGTGGCATGCTCTTGACCGCGCTTGATAGCGTGTTTTTGCGTTTTCATGTAGACGGAGACCGAGCATGTGTGGACGGGATTTTTTTTAAACGCTGTAGGAAAAACTCAGGTTATAAAAATACCCGTGTCCGTGTGGACAAGGCCTAAGACACAAAGGCCTCAATATGCTACAACTGCTCTCTCCTACAAAAATATATAGTTAGAAATGCATAAAATATTTTCGTTATTTAAAAAATCCTCACGGTGTTTACAGAATTTGAACTACTAAGGCAGCCATTTTTTTGCGCGCGCAATGCATTCTGGGTCGATTACGCATATTGGTTGTGTCGGTTGTGTTCAGAACAGAGAGAGGTGAGCTAATGGCGCTAAGTTTAACTGTAGCTACATCCTAAAAGTCAATATAATGCCACATTGTGCAGCGTTTGGTTGTAATTTCCAGTCCAAAGGCAACAGGGGGAGTGATGTAAGCCTCCACTCCTTTCCAAAGGAGAAGAAAATAAGAAAAGAGTGGGAAGTTGCTTGCGGACGAGTACAACTCCCTGAAGACCCACGGCTGTGTTCCCGTCACGTCAGCCCTGATGCGTTTGAGGCATTTAGTCGGCTAAAAGAGCTCACAGGTGCAGCTAGTTACAAGCGAAGACTAAAACCAAATGCCTTGCCTTCAATTTTCCCCCACAAGAAGCATAAGCGTCCGCGCATAGCGAGTGAAAGCCGCGCTAACAAACGACAAAGGCAAGTGACTGGACACTCTACTGCTAGGATGTAAACAACCCGCTCCTGCAGTTGCAGTCGTGGAAGACGAATCATCGGACACTACGCCGATCATGGAGGTAACCGACAATCCACCAGATGCTGTTAATGAATCCACTGTAACGTTAGGCCTACAGTGTTCTCCAAGTATGGCTGATGCAGCAACGCAGACGGATGTTAACCAGTCGGATGCAGCGGTACAGTGGCCAGCTGATGTGGACTACCCAGTAAAAAAGGACCATAGTTACACAGGTAAACATGAAATTGAGATTGGCAAACGTGTACAGGAGGATGACGCTGATAACTCCCAGGATCTGTTCCTCTCAGATGATGAACTTGGCGAACAGAGTCAACCACAGTACAGTCACTTTGATCCGGAATACATTGTAAGTTCATCTGAGTTTTCTCAAAACACCCAGGAATCACAAGCTTCAACCAACAGCCATAAAGAAATGAGGCTTTTTCTAGTTTTTGAGGAACAGTTAAACCAATTACTTTAGCGTTGTTTAAAGTGTGGCTCCCTGATTGTCCAGGAAGAAGTGAAAGAGAAGCTAAAGAATGAAGGATCACAGTTGACACTTGAGATCACATGTGCTAACAGCTGTAGTTACATATGGCAGTCTCAACCTACTCTGAGTGGGACCAAAGGAACAGGAAACCTGCTTTTAACAGAATCATTTTTCGTCAGTGGCATCCATTTTGCTAAATTTGAGCGTTTCTGTAGTAACATGAACCTCAAAACAATAAGTGAAGACACATACACATCACTGAGGAAGAAGTTTGTGTTTCCTGTCATTCAAAAAACGTAGATTAAAAAGCAGAGTACAGTGTTAACTACAATGAAATCACAAGAAGAAGTTGTGGAGATGGCCGGTGTGACTCTCCGGGGCACTCAGCCAAATACTGTACATACACTTTTTTAGACGCACAAAGTCAAAAGGTTGTGGACTTCAAGGTAATTAGCTGCACCCAAGTTTTGAGCTCTAATACCATGGAAATCAAAGGTTTTAAAGAAGCTCTCAAAACCATAGAAGAAAATGGAGTGAAGGTCTCAGCCATCTCCACTGACAGACATCCACAAATCGTCAAAGAAATGAGGGTCAGTAATCCAGAAAAACACCATGAATTTGACCCTTGGCATGTGGCAAAAGGAGTGTCCAAAAAACTGGCAACTGAAGCTAAGAGAAGGGAATGTGAAGGCCTGGGACAGTGGATTCCATCCATTGTAAATCATTTGTGGTGGAGTGCACAAACCTGTGAGGGTAATGCCGAAGTGTTGAAAGAGAAGTGGATATCTGTAATACACCATGTTACCAACCGACACGACTGGCCAGGGAACAGGCACTATCACCAATGTTCTCATGAGCCCCTTGATGAGACGAGCCAGAGAAGCAAGCTTTGGTTAAAGCCAGGATCTGAAGCCCATAACGCACTTGTGAAGGTTGTGAAACACAAGCGGCTTTTGAAAGACCTGGATCATCTGACAAAGTGCATCCACACAACAAAACTAGAGGTATGATCAAATACAGGCATATTTAACCCTTGTGCATCAATTAAAAAAAGTTACACATAGCTACATAGAGGACAAAAAATGTCCACGTCAAAAAACTGTCATAACATTTTTTGTCTTGGGAGCACAGACTTAAGTTTGGTATAATTTTAAAGAAGACCCATGGCAGATTATTGCTGAAATTATTTATTTGCTTTATTTGATTATTATATATTAAATATTCCATTCATTATGATGTGGCAGGGTGTGACTCACATATTTTAATATTTCAAATTCAAATTTGTTTCAGGTGTATCACTCCATGTACCTGAAATACCTCCCAAAGAGAACACATTTTGGATATTATGTGATGATCCATGCCTCCATGCTTGCTGCTCTGGATCATAACAACAATGTGAACAGGGAACAGGTGTGTGAACTGTAATCAATCCTATCCCTTGCAAGCACTATGTGACACTGGTTATTGCACATCAAACTGTTCCTAACACCTTATCTATTTTCCATATTTCTGTTTTTGAACAGGCATTTTTTCAAGATGGGGAGAGTGTTGGTGAACCCAAGTTCAAAATCTCATGGAGCAAAGTCCACAAGACATTCCGAGCAAGACCAGTGCCTGTTGAAAAGGACTATAGCTACATGACAGCTATGATTGCAGATGTTCTCTCCTCTGTGTTAGATTCAAAACAGGTCATGGACATGAGAGTTAATCCAACACATGTCATGGCTCCACAAGAGAGACTATCCAGATCACAGATCATTTGTCAAACACAGCAGTTTCCACGTTTCAAGTAGCTGCATCATTACAAACACATGACGTAGACACCAGCATAGTTCAAATGCACAGTATCTTTAATGTTTAATTCTAGTCAAGCACACGTAGTACTTCAAACATATATTTGATATTGGAGTACATGCAACATTTTTTTTTTAAACATTAACATTTAGTATGGTATCCTATTTTGTCGCATAGCTTGTTTTCTTGACAAAATGCCTTCAAATGTCAACTATTCAGCTATAGGTTATTAAAATCCCTCCATGCCTCATCTACTTCTGCATGATCAATGTCTTCATATTCAAACCCTGTATAGATTCCACTTGGTTCAGAGTAGACGTTTCTTATTTTGTTAACTGCACATGATGGAATGACTCTGCGGACTCTTCTCCCTAGCCAGCCATGCATCCACCATGTAAACTGATCATATGAGGCATATCTGTAAGACCTAAAAGGCAGAATTTTTAAAACAATTATACTATTATGTTATGAAAAAATGATTTAAGCTGTTTGTCTTAACCAATAAAACAGCTGAAGCCTTCACTGGAAGCGCACAGTCCAGTTAACTTTTTTCCCACTATTTGTAGGCTACAGTGTAGGTAGGCTACCACTGCTTGGTGAAAATAAATAAAAATTATTTATACCGATAGTACGATCGTCTGCTCTATACTTAGCCTACCCAGGACAGCTGCTGACAAAAAGTGGAGCTCTTTACAGCAAGCGCTCTCGTTCTCACTTGGCATTGGCAAGCAGTTGCCGCACAGACACCATCCGTTTTGCCCTACTCTTGCTTCCTCAACTCTCTGATAATCTTGAGTGGGCCTATCGTCTTCCGCGTTATTCTCCTGATTTAAGCAACGGTGCGCTCGGGTTCAAACTGAAAAGGCTGAACGGCAGACGTGTTCATCTCGCTACCTGTCAAAACGTAGCTGGTACGTTGGAAAACGAATAAACGAAGCTGCTACAGCGGCTAGGCTACAACCAGGCAACAACCTATACACGTCACTACCCAGAATGCATTGAGACGTAAATAAATATGGCGGCCTACGAGTGAACGGATTTTCGGCTTTTTTTTATAAAAACAAAAACATTTGGAGTGTTTTTGTATCACCTTTTTTTAGCTGACACCCACGTTAATCTTATAAGGCCAACATGCTGCACTAATCGGGGTACCCTTTAACCGAACCAAGAAAAAACAACAACTCTGCACTCAATTGGATAGACCTATAACCAATCAGAGCAAAGCAGTAAGTGTTTTTTTTTTATGAGCTACGCAAGTTGTCAACAGAACTCAACTGCACACACACTGGAAGAAGTAGTAAAATAATGAGTGTTGCTTCTTTTACTTGGTCCTCCATGAGTGCGACCAAAGGAGAAACCACAATGAGCACAGGGTTTTTTCATTGCGTCCCATCTTCTTTTAGCGACCATCGGAGCCAGCTGATAAAATAAACTTTTGCCGAATCCCGTAGGAAGGACGGTAAACACATCTTTCCGATCGACAAATGCCTTGATTGCAGTTCTCTGTTCGTAATGAATGCGCTGTCGATTTCTTTTACAACAGACGCGATAGCAGAATCTATACATCTCAGTTCTCCAGCTGCAGTCATCTTTGAGGGAAACCAGTTCAACCCAAGCGCTCTTTGATAACGTGATGATAACGTAACTGCAGATCATCTATCCATCATCGTATAAAGCCCACCCTGGCAATTTGATTGGCCCGACTAATTCTGAACCGATCACAATTACTCCTCAATGGATCAGGTCCAGACCGAACTTCCCGACCAAAAATGTTGTGGGCGGGGTTCGGGCTGGCATCCAGGCTAGGCCCGTTGCACTTTGAAATGTGGACTGCAGACCTTTTTATGTCAAACGAATTATTAAACAAATTATTCTGACCAGTCCTCAAAAATTACACAAAAAGTTCAATTAAAATAATTTGAATTCATGCGTCACATTTAAATCTGCAGCGTAATGCGAGACAGTCTAATCGTCAAATCATTTTACTGCATTTTACATTAGGAGCAGACAGTTCTGCAGTACTTTGAGAGTTGAAGCGTGCAGAGACAATCTGCAGAGAAATGTTGTTTTTATTCCATCCACAAGCACTGAAACAGAAGCATCTGCACGTTCACATTCTTCCACCAACGTGTGTTTTAGTGCGTGCACAAGAATTAAACTAATGTTATGCCGGTTTAATTGCTTCCTGCAGCGTTAATGGCAGATCATGTCGGGTAAAAGGGAAGCAAGCACTTTCATGTTCTATACAGGCCGGTTTGCGTTTAGGCCTATTTTTAAGCACCGCTTACATTATATTGAGGCTTTTCTCTGCGATTCGCAGTCTTTAAATCCATATAATTTGTGATGTCATTGATGTAAAAATCTGTTTGCTTATAGTAGTAGCCTACTTGTAACATTAGGCTATAGAAAGAACACAAAGTAAACCCAGTTTTGCGTGATGCATATCGTGATGCCTATCAGCGACCCGGGTTCGAATCCAGTCCGTATGTTTCCAACATTGAATATACATCTGTTTCAATTGTCTCACTGATGTTCTCCGGAGAAGTGAGTTATTGGTATACTGGGGGTGTCGGTAAAATGCCAGTAAAAGGCACACTTCAAGTAGGCCTATACTTGGAATAGTTTCACTTTAACACAAACAAGTAAATTTAATACAAATTTAGTTGAACTTCAGGACTGCTTTTTTGGACAACTAAAATGCATTTAGTACAAAATTAATAAATTGTGCTTAATACTATACTCTTTTTTTCACTAGGGCAGCTATACCGACTATGCAATGTACTATGGTGGTTAAGCTGCGAATTACACCATTGTTTGAGAAATGCACCCCAGTTTAGCACTAGGTTTTGCTGATCATAATGTAGGCCTACCCATTAGCCCCTGTTGGTAGATACTCTAACTGCATTTGATGTCAAAGAGCATCTTTCTCCATTGATGGTCATTCCAAAATAACTGAGTATTTTGACATTCTTTTTTCTTTTTTTTGCAAGCGACCTAGATATTGTCAGTTTTTAATTACACTAAAAAGTAGATGTTTTACCATGTGACTGGTTCTTTATGGAGGGCTTGATATCTCCCTGTCTGCAGCCTTTGACAGGACAGCTCAAATTCGCTGCTAGTCTGACGGTGTGTGTTGTTGAGGTACCATCAGTCAATCACCGATTAGTCACATGACATTTAGGTTCAGGTGATTGGCAGAAAACCTGGCAGCAGAACTGAACACCGTAAATCACCATTAGCAAAGATGGCAGATTCTAAATCTTGTACCTCTAAGATTAGCTTTGCAACATGCTAACACAAAATTCGATTAAAATCAAATGTGAGTTGAGTATTCTGCGGTATGGTTCATGTGACCTCTGGTATGGTTTGCTGCTGACATGAACACAATCCAAATCGCTTATGTGAACCACTATCAATGACGTATAATTCAGTAAAACTGTGTATTTGTGTGCGTTTCCTGAGATCCGGGATTGACGCAATGCCTTTAGAGAGAATGTAGCTATTTCTCAAGGTACAAAAAACTAGTATAAAAGTGAGACAACCTAAGTTGCCACTTATGACGCAAACATACAGTCCCAAAAAAATAGTGTGAACACTGTTGAACTCGAGTTCGAACCAAACAAACTACTAAATGTGAAAGCAACGCTTAGCGACATGCTAGCTAGTGTCAGAGTAGGCCCTATATTGGAATCAATTTTGAATCTAGACTTTTATACAAGTTTAGTCCGGAGTGTTAGCTTTATGATACATGAAGTTGGTGGCTAAGAACATTTTAAATTTGTCACATTGTTCTTTAAAAGGACAAAAAAAAAAAAAAAACAGCAAGGCAGCTCACTTTTTGGTAGTGCCAGTGTTTATAGCTAATGCGAGTAAATATGTGTTTATAGTGCCAATAAAGATTTAATTCTAAAAAAATATCATTAGAGAGAAGAGTGCTTTTAGTGTTTAAACAGCCTGATAGAACAGCCTGCTCTATAACCAACAGCTGGAAGTGAGAAGTGTGGTTGGCAGGAGAAAATAGCTGGGATGATCACACTGACTAGCATAGCTTGGCATTGATAAAGACAGTGTTGGCCATCTATTGTCAGCATCTTACTGCAAGGCCAGATTACAGCTTCACCAGCAGTGACACAAATAGTAAACATTTTTAGATGCTTTCATCTAGCTTGGCATGTATAAGCATAAATCATATGCCTCAAAACAGAAAACTAAAAGTAGTACCTTTTAAGTACCCGGCATATTTTTAAGCAGTGTAATTCTGAAAACCATTTTATGCGCATGTGAGGGGGTCATTTGGACAAGGGGGCAAACAGATTTGCCACCTTGAAAATTGCATAGCAGACTGTACCAAATAAGTGCTTGAGTTGAGTTTACTTTTGAAAATAACATATCTAAAAAATAAAAAAATAAACATTTTGGGTGTTTCCTCAGCAATGGGCACTTGAATTAAGCATGTGAAATTTTAGTAAGTTAGCGCTCTTAAAATAAACTTTTCATACTTAGTAGATTATGTAATTTGTCCAACAGGAGAAATTCTGTCTTTTTTCTGAACTCAATGATATATTGTTTAATAGCATTCTGTGATGAAAACAGCATTTTGAAATAAAATGTCAAACTCCTTTGTCTTGCGAAGTTAATTTAATGGCTAGCTACAAAAGCGCCACAACTGAAGGACAATTGTAATGTAGGGTAAAAAATGATTAAATACTTTTCACACAATGAATGTTGAAATTCTTTGATTATTACATTCTTGGTTTAGAGTTTTAAATGTATTATTGCATATTTGTTTATGATGAATTTTAAAATTGGGACAAAGTTATAACAATAAAATATATGCATTTAAGGCATTTAAAAATAAAAGATAACGGCTAGCCCTCCATGTTATATTGCATAGTTACTGGGGGAAAATACAAAACATTTGGACAATAAAATAATTTTATTTCCAGGATTGATGACATGCATATCTGGTGACAATTTTGTATCCATATAAATGTCCTTGTTTAATTGAAGAAATAATGCCTTGAATCTTATTCGTTATATGTGCTTTTTTTATATAATAAAAATAGAAAATAAAATAAAATAAATGAAGGCATGTCTACGATGGTTTTAATTAAAATAAACACCTGGCAAATAAGTTGAAGAAACGCCCCATGAAATAACGAAGTTAACACCAATTCACTGGAGTCATGGTTTATCTGATTTAAAGTAGTAGTTCACTTTAAAATGAAAATTACCCCATGATTTTCCCTCAAGCCACCCTAGGTGTATATGAATTTCTTCTTTCAGACGAATACAATCGGAGTTATATTAATAAACACCCTGACGCTTCCAAGCTCTTCAATGGCAGTGGATTGCAACCATCAGTTTGTAGTGTTAAATATGAATATTTTTCTTACACAAAATCATCACTTTGCTTCAGTTGGCCTTTATTAACCCTTCGGAGCCGTGTGTAGTCCTTTTATGATGGATGAACTTTTTTGAGCTTCAAACTGATGGTTGCAATCCGCTGCCATTATAAAGCTTGGAAGCGTCAGGGTGTTTGTTAATATAACTCTGATTGTATTCGTCTGAAAGAAGAAAGTCATATTATACACCTTGAGGGTGAGTAAATCATGGGGTAATTTTCATTTTAAAGTGAACTACTCCTTTAACACTTTTTTTCATACTCCCTGATGTAAACTGAAAAGTCAATGTCTTTTATTTTTTCGAACGGGAAGGAGTTTTGCTCTTGCTCATACTTTTGCTTTATCTAACTCTTACAGGTGACACAACCGTATGGCGAATACGTTCACCATGGACCCCAGCAATTGCTCAGCTGTGGATCTCTCTGATGTTTTGGCCAGCCAGATGAGTCCCAGCAAGATCCTCCTCTCCCTGACTCTCTCTTTCCTGGCTGTGGCGACCACCGCCATCAACTCCCTGGTCATCACTGCTATCCTGATCACCAGCAAACTCCACCAACCCGCCAACTACCTTATCTGCTCTCTAGCTGTGACAGATCTTCTGGTAGCTGTTCTAGTGATGCCCATCAGCATTGTGTACATCGCAGAAGAGACGTGGGTTCTAGGTCCGATAGTGTGTCACCTGTGGTTGGGTGTCGATGTTACATGCTGCACCTGTTCAATTTTACACCTGGCTGCCATTGCACTTGATCGATACCGCGCAATCACCGATGCTGTGGCGTATTCCCAGAAACGCACGTATAAAAGAGCAATCATAACCATTTTTTCCTTGTGGACACTGTCTGTGTTGGTTTCTCTACCACCTTTAGTGTGGAGGAAATCCTCAAGTGTGGAAAACAAGGATGGGAAGAGGGAAGTCATGGACTGCTGGATTGAGCACGACCATGTGGCCTTCACTGTCTACTCCACTTTTGGAGCATTCTATATTCCACTGGCCCTCATTTTGGTTCTTTACTACAAGATCTACAAGGCGGCGGAGACACTTCGTAACCGCCGAGGGAGCAGCCGATTAGTAAAACAGACAGTGAGCAGCGTCATGCTTTCAGGAATGAGCTCTGATAAAGACATCACCCTCAGTCCCGACACATTCTGCCCAATCGAGAAGTCATTTTCCGAACCATCAACAGATGGGGAAAGGGTGCGCAGCACTTCCTCGTCGGGTAATCTCATCAAGGTCCGCAGGAACCCAGGGGCTAGGGAGAGACGGGCGGCTTTGACATTAGGACTAATCCTGGGAGCCTTTGTGGTGTGTTGGTTACCGTTCTTCCTGAAGGAGGTGATAGTGAATATTTGTCCGACCTGCAGCACCTCTGCTGTGCTTGCAGATTTCCTCACCTGGCTTGGGTATCTCAATTCCCTCATAAATCCGCTAATATACACCATCTTTAACGAGGACTTTAAGAAAGCATTTAAAAAACTTCTGCCCTTCTGTTGCAGCAATGTCATTTGAAATTGACTGGGAGAAAAAGAGAGACATGGTTTCATCAGACAAACTTTGGAGTTGAAATCTGCAAGTTACAATGACAATCCTGTCATACTGTAAATAAGCAGACTTAACGCAAGAATTACACATCTTTCAGAGACATTTCATCAGTATTGTTTATATAGTGCCTGTAAATACATGAATGCATGTAAAACCAACCCATTTGCTTCACTCAAAGATTTCACATTTCAGAATTTTATATAAAATTAAAAGTTTATACCAAGGGGTAAAAGTTTGGCTGGTTAGCATGACCCAGTTAGCCCCTGCTGATATGTTGTAACTACACCATCTGGATCCCAAAATATTTTTTTTTTCATTAACAGCCATTCAAAAGCTGCTGTATATACAACTGTATATATGCTGTATATGCTGTATTTTAAAAAATATATAAATCTTTATATTATAATATTTTTTAGTATATTACATTAATAATGTTGTTCGTTCTAATGATTTGTTATATCTTAAAGTTCCTCGGGTTCGAACAGAGCTAGAAAAAAAAAGGCTTTAAATAATGCTTCTTCTGCTTGAAATAATTTACAAAACATCTTAAAGCTGAATATGCTTCCATCATTGAACGAGTTTAAGTTACTTTTAACAGATTATGTGTTTTGTCCTTTGGTATATTGCTGTTGTGATCCTTGATTGTGTTTTTCTGTTATGATGTGTATATGTTTATGTTATTGTAGCTGCTTTTTTGGCCAGGTCACTCTTGTAAAAGAGATTTTAATCTCAATGAGTTTTTAACCTGGTCAAATTAAGAATGAATGAAAAGAAATAATATATAAAAAATTTGCCAGTGACTGATTTTTTATTGTATTTTGGAGGGCTCTCAAATGTGTGAATGAGGGCTTGGGATTACATGTTTGTGTGGTGGGATCACCCACATGATTGTGACTATTGATTATTATGTACCCTTCAAGTGTTGGAAATATCAAAATTATGAGTTCCTTCACATGAATGACCAAAGAAAGTCTAAAAACTCTAAATTCTAGATGATACACAAGTGGCATTGGAAGAGCCAAGCCTACTTTAAACATTGCGGAAACACTGATCTAGTAGATGCTAGCAAGTCTGTAGTGAGTTATGATTTTGCATGTTTTTTTTTTATTGTAGGCTACATGATGTATTTTTTTTTATCATTTTAAATACAGAACAGCTAATAGACAAGTGCAAATTTAATCATTATAATATTATGTTTAAATAAGTGCTTTTAATAGAAATAAAAGTATAATAGAAATCATTTTCATAAAAATTGGTTTAAATATCGTTCACAATGTAATTATTTTGTCTGGTCTACTTCAGTGTTGTTTCCAACTTAAATATGTGACATCGTAATAATAAACGCCCGACTCCGAGGTATACATTTCCCATGTGCCATTGAAGGTAGCATTATTCACATGGAATCAAAAGCTTCAAGGGGTCTAGTATGCTTTTTCACTTAATGCTGTTTGAGCATAAAAAAGATCTGTAAGGTTACAAAGCTCAGTCTACTCCAAAGAGAGATATTTTATTTAACATAATCCACTGTCCAAGAACTACAATGAACAATTTGGACAACATGTTTGTTTGTTTTTTCTCCAGGCTTTGTGAAGTCATAATGTTCTTCATTTAAAACTGGCCTGAGAACAGCTTCCAGAACCACAATGCAGGCTAAGCACAAAATTGTCTACTGAAATGGAGCAGTTCCCACTTCAGTACAATCTGTTGTTTGTGGATCACAACTTGTAAGTATTACATCGTATCTAAAATGTATACGGAAATAATAATAGAAAATAAAAAAACATACCACTCTGTAACCTCCTGTGAAATCCATGCTGGCAAAGTCAGTGCACAAAATCCATTCTGGACGATCCTCTTGTTTATTAACATTAATTCTGAATCAGGCTTGAAATTGTCCTTAATATCTATTAATACTTCCTTAATATGGATATCCTTAATATTTACATCGGAGTAGAACCATAGACTGTAAAAAAGAGTAGAACTCGCTAAGGGCCATACTATTTCCCAAACACGACGATGCCAATCAATCACAACACACTGGGCCAGCTAACCAATCACAGCTAATTTTGTATTCGGAAGGAGGGGCTTCATCAAAACTGGAACCATGCGCACCATGCGACAGACACGCTCGAGTCAGACTGGACAGAGAGGTGCTGTAATGTAAAATATTTGAAAATTGTGTTTTGAACAATCAAGCATGAAAGCATTCTAGTTAGCCTGGCATGCCAGACCTACATCAAGATGTTAGGTCTGGGAACTCTCCATTGACATGCCTCAATCCGAGGGGCGGGATAAACGGTTACCTTTCAAAATCCCTCTGCACGCAATAGGATAACGCTACAACCAACCAGAGCAACGAACGGTTGTGGATGAGTGAGTCCCATGCGTTTTTCCACCAGCGGAGCTAATTGATATAATAAACTTTTGCCGTATCAGGTCGGCAAAACTCCGAACACATCTTCCTTTTTTAAGAATGACTTAAGTGACGTTAAGTCCTCCAGAGTCGCGGCCAAAGCCGATTCGAAAGACTGCTGCATCTTCATTGTTTTCAAGTAGCAGGGAAGACACGGAAATCACGCGGAACGTCATGAACTGTGCCGTCATTGTGTTAAGCCCGCCCGCCGACTCTATACACGATGTGATTGGCCCGACCAGTTTTTGTTTTTTCCAGCTCAAAAGCCTATGGAGAGTTGCTAGACCACACTGGCTGCGAAATAATTTCCGCTGCCGCTAGTGTGCGTCTAGATTTCTAGGCTATATTAGCTACACCCCAAAAACATCAAGACTTCTTAAAAAAAACATAGGTCCTCTTTAAAGGTGCATTGTGTAATACTTAGGAGGATCGATCGGTTGGCAGAAATGCAATATATGTTCTCTTACGAGAGTATCTCTCGTACTGCGTAATAGCTTACGCTAGGGGAAAAACTCTTTTCCGCGAGATATTGAAGCCAAAAATTATCCTTAATTTTTTATTAATGTAAAACGCTTTGCAGCAGCAAGCAGACATAGGCGAAACAGCTCGCGCGCCTATTGGTTGCTCTGCAGCAAATGCAGCAGCCTATCGAGAGAGACTCTGCGTGACGTAATGACCAATGGGGGCAATTCGCGCCCATATCGTCACGTCCCGCCAGAAGGGGCGTGGTCTCACCCTATAAATATGCTCGTTAGGCTGATACAAGCTGATTTTTACCTCTTCAGCGAAGCACACGCATCGCTGGATCCGGAGTGAGAAGCCGCGCCGTCGAAGCAAGCCTTTCAGCGGGACGAGCTCTGGAGTCGCTGGCCTCGCCGCCTTCAACTGCCGTACCTGCTGCGCTTTCCGGCATTCTATATCCTTTCATACTCTGTGTGTATTTACTCTGTTGAGAGTGTTTGCTCGCTTACTTGACGTGACTCACACTTCTCTCACAAAAAGAGCTGCGTCTTTTTAAAGATGCCTTCCTGTGGCTCGTGCCGCGCCCCGCTCAGCGATGGAGACCGGCACGTCATCTGTGTTTCCTGCCTGGGTGAGGATCACGCGGCTCTCGCGCTCGCTGACGGCGGATGCCCTCATTGCGAGCTTTTGCCCATGGTGACTCTGAGGACTCGCCTGGCATCATTCTCCGAGCCTTCACCGCAGCCCGCCGTGGTGCCGCGCCGCAAGAAGCGCCGCGCCCAGCGCGCTCCCGAGCTTTCTCCAGCCCGCCAAAGCTCGCCGGTTCGCCCGCCAGCTTCGCCGGCTTCGCTCGAGTCGCTCACTGACGGACAACGGCCGCCGCCTGCCGCCGCGTCCATCCACGAGTTTGACGAACCCACCGAGGCGTGTTCTCTTCTGGCATCCGATAGTGAGGATTGGGCGAGCTCCGTGGATCTCCCCTCCGCTAGCGTTTCCCGCCAGACCACTGGTAAGAGAGCCGGCATTGAGACTGAGCTGATGCGTCTGCTCTCTCAGGCCGTGGAAAGCATCGGCCTCGATTGGGAGGCGCCCGCGCAGCCGCCGCGCAACAGAATGGACGGACGCTTTCTCGGAAATGACGAGGCTCCGACGAAATCGCGGCCCGCGCCCTTCCTCCCGGAACTTCACGAGGAAGTGACTAAATCGTGGAACGCCCCCTTCTCCGCCAGGCTGCGTACCTCTGCCTCTGCTGCTTTCTCCTCGGTGGATGGCGCGAAGGACAGAGGATACCTTTCTGTTCCTCCTGTGGAACCAGCTGTAGCGTCTCATCTCTGCCCGCCCTCCGCTGGACAGCGCGCTCACACGACGCTACCTTCTAAAGCCTGCCGAGTGACGTCAACCATGCACGGTCGCGCTTACACCGCCGCCAGGCAAGCAGTTTCAGCGCTGCACACTATGGCTATCCTGCAGATCTTCCAAGCCGACCTTCTCCTTAAATTGGACGAGGAAGGACCCGGAGCGATCTGCGTGGCGGACCTGAGAAGCGCTACAGACCTCGCTCTTCGCGCTACTAAAGCCGCTGCACAAGCCATAGGACGAAACATGGCCTCTCTCACTGTGGCTGAGAGACACTTATGGCTGACGCTGTCCGAGATGACGGAAGCCGAGCGCTCTGTGTTCCTCGACGCGCCCATTTCACAAGCGGGCCTTTTCGGATCTGCCGTCAAAGATTTCGCGGACAGATTCATGGAGGTGCAAAAGACTTCGCAGGCCATGAAGCACTTCCTTCCGAAGCGCTCGAGCTCCGCTGCAGGCCGCTCAAAACAGGTCAGGTCTGCTCGCAGTTCTCAGCCGCAGCCTGCACCGCCCGCCGCCGCCGCTTCACAGCGCCGCCACGCCCGAGACCAAAGACCGCGCTCTCGCTCTGCTGGACGCCGCCCCCCTCAGCGCGGGCCCCGGCCGAGGATTGAGATCAAGCCCAAGGCCTCAAAATCTTCCTAGCCATTCTAGGAAAGCGACGGTGTTCAGATCCCGCTGCGGCCGGATTTCCACCAAAACTTCTCGCTCGGTCAGTTCCAAACATCGCGACTGTCCCAGTGTATTTCGCATT